TATTACAAATGGCGCTCGAAAACATTCTGACACGCGAGTCGTGTGCTAATCTTAAGATTTTCATTTTGTCTTAAATATTGGATATCAGAAGCCCATCTTTCCCGCTAAGATAACAACATCAATGTTGATTTAAACTGACCAATAAGACGTTTTTGCTGTGTTGAAAACTGTGGATGATATTGAGTTAGAGACAGGCCTCCTTTAATAGAATTTAACATAGTGTCGTGATCTAGCCGGGGTGATCAGTAGACCGGTTGTTGTCAATAGTGATAGAGAGAGAGAAATGGGGATTAACGTCCACTCGACACAAACTAGGTCATTCGGCCACCCCCACCCCCCACCCCCGTCAATAACAGCAATATTTAATCTATAGGTATACTGTTGTTTGTGGTGAAGGGGGATCACGTGACTAAGTGGGTAAGACGCTGGCTCGCTAGTCTGGAGGTCGGGTGTTCGATCCCTGCATTGGCCGAGAAAGTTCATCCAGATTTTCCGGCGTGGTTTCTCCTTGTCAGTGATGCACGACGGAGGGCCTGACAAGGACAGCGGTCTAGTCGTTCGGATGGAACGGAAAACCGAGGTCCTGTGTACCCATTGGCGTGCAGTTCGGAGCAGAACAGTAGGACGTTAAACCACATTTCTTTTCATTTCATTTTATTAGCCAAGTCGGCGGAAACGTTTATAAACGCTGCTGTCTTGGCAAAAAATACGTGTGTGAACTGTATTGAGCATAGCCAATTTATCTTTTCAACATTTTAAATAACGACGCAATAATTTGTATCTATTTTAATATTGTGACACATATTTGAAATAGATTATAAATCATGCTTCAAAAAGTTCCTGGTTGATAAGAACCGGATTATGTTGTGACCTTATTAATCGGGTCTAATTCAGCTGTGTTGTCTATTAGTTTATTTGTTAACTGACACGTCTTATCGTGCGTGACAAAAATGAGTTTTACCAACACATTGCGCAATTTGATAATATTTCCGTGTTAAAAGTAGGGCCGGTTCACACGAAACGAGGAATATATTCATTATTGCATAATTCTTTTCCTGTATACACTCAACGTTCATTGATATCATTTGTTACGTCCTTGTTCCAATATGACTATGGTTAGCACGTGCGCGTTGTATTATAAGGGTTGTCATTGGGTGAATTGGCGTGGTTTCGATTCCCCGGATGTGACAAGGAGTTGGGTCGCCTGTCTAGTCTCGTGGTCTCTCTCTCTCTCTCTCTCTCTCTCCAATATGACTAACAATGCATTAGTGTATATCCTATTTAGAAAAAGAAATAGTCGTTCTGGTTATAAATATCGAAAGCGGAATATACTGAAAATTCCAGTCAAATTATTTCATTCATTCATCCATTAATCCGGGTCTGAAGTGTATCTAGTTGTTGGGATGGAACAAAAAACCTAGGGCGAGTGTACAAAATGGTAGATCTCTCAGAATGAAAACACTGTTGGTCAGACGAATTTCTTACTTTCACATTTCCACACATGTACCCTTAGAAATACCACATGTTAGTCTCAAAAAGATCCGATTAAAGTATCCACGCCATTCCATTCTATTCCCGTTTCAGGCAGTTCAAAATCGGGGGGGGGGATGTGGATGGCCGAATGGTTAGCGTGTGCGCGCTGTATCATAAGGTCTGTCATTGAGTCAACTGGCGTGGTTTCGATTCCCAGGTCGCCTGTCCAACCTCGTGGGTTTTCTCCGGGTCCTCCGGTTTCCTCCCACTGCTAAAGACCCTGAAATAAAATTGAACCATGTGTTAGTCCTGTCCCAAAATGACCTAGTCTGTGTCGAGGGAACGTTTAACCCCCACTCTCTCTCTCTCTCTCCCTCTCTCTCTCTCTCAATTCAAAATCGACCCTTAATTAATCTGGAAATTGGATCAACGTTGTTCTTTAACCATTGCATATAGTCATCCAGCTGAACACCATTAAAGATAATTAGATAACAATGGAAGAAACAAAGAGAGAACTATTAACTTTAATCATTTATAATACCATCAAGTGTCAAATCAACGGACCTTCGCTTCCGATCTTTAAATTATACCTTCATTACAACATGTCGACAATGGCTTGTCCCAAGTGTTAGGTCTAAATATTAAGTTCAACTGCAGAATTTGGCAAATGAAATGAAATGGGGTTTAACGTCCTACTGTTCTGCTCCTAACCTGGGCTAATGAAGACGGGCATACGCCTTACAGTGTGCTATGAGGGAAAGTTTGCCCGGGCAGAGGCGCTACGGCCTACTCTTATATCGAATTCCAACTGCCAAGGGATCTTTCACGTGTACGCCAATGTGTACGCGGGACCTCAGTTTTTCTTTCGCCCATGCGAAGGACTAGACAGCTGTCCTTGTCAGACCCCCATCCTGCATCACTGACAAGGGGAAACCAAGTTGGAAACGGAATTTGTCAAAGATTACGAGATGTAAACAGGGCTAGCGCTAACACTAAACCTACCCTTTACCCTAACCCTACGCCACAATCTCGTCAACAATCACGTGCCCTAATTGCATCCCGTGACCCCGACAAAATCTGCAGTTGGCCTTGATATTTAGACCTGCCCCTGGTCCAAAGTGTTATGATGAGGCAGGGCATCTTAACAGCATTATAGGGCCCCGCCAGGGCAGAGCAGTGAACTGGGGGCCCTAACTACACAACCACTCACCGGAATAAAATGGAAATGGTTGATAAAATTAAACATAACAAAATTAAACATATATTTATTGTATTGTCATTATAGGGCCCTGGGCAGAGCAGTGAACTGGGGCCCTAACTACATAACCACTCACCGGAATAAAATGGAAATGGTTGATAAAATTAAACATATATTTATTGTATTGACACTTCGAACAAAATCGGTGTTTAACGTGTTATAGTGAGTCAGGGGGCCTTAGCATTATAGGCCCCGTGCAAAGCAGTGCGCTGGGACCCTACCCACACAGTCACTCATAATAGGAATACAATAGGTAAATATTGATACTTTCAACAAAATTGGTGTTTAAACAACAGGTCTGAACAGTGGGGCGTATCTCCATTTCAGTTCATTTAAACGGCAAGTCACAGCGTACATAGATTGTTGATTAACGTGAGACCATATGCTCGTGGGGCCCCCGGACAACTGTCCAGTGTGCTCATGCGTTAAGACGGTCTTGTATATGATCCAAACAACTACACCCTATAATTACTCAACAATAATGAATGGCAGTCAGCCTCTAGAATCTGTCCAGTTCTACAAATTAGCCTGCCCGTGTTAATTAGCCCAGTCGGAGCAGAAAAGTAGGACGTGTTGCACGTGCACTGGGTTAGTGATCAGGTATGGAACAGTAATAGAAGTACGTAGAATGGTGGCTAAATTCTGTAATCCTTCCGCGAATGACACATTGTCGGTACTCGGGTCTATTGTTCCACTCGACGCCATTTTTCCTTGGCGCACTGGGCTAAAATGCCCTGTACGAAATGAATTATTGAAATAAGATATATCATATCTCCTGAAACGACTTCGGTTGAGCGGACGTTAAACTTCCATATTTCAAGACCATTGTTTTGCTTTTAAACTTTATTGGGATTCCACTGTGCAGACTTCCATATTGACTGATTGCCAGTAGGGTGTGAGGGAGAAGAAAACTTCTATACAAGAGACATTCTACCCTACCCCACCCTATCCAATTCATGATAATGACTTTCACGTGTCCTACAATGTCGGGACAACAACACACCACCCACCCCACCCTATTTCATAATACATGACTTTCATGTCTAATGTCAGGACCAAGACAACATTCTGTACAATTTCATGACACATGACTTCCATTTCAGGATACATGAACCCTTACAAATATCACACGAACCCTTACAAATCATACCCCATTTTTAGGATACATGACTTCCATGTCCAATATGTCAGGAACACCTCCACCCCATCTCAGGATTGGATACAGGACTTCCGTGTCTAGTATTACGACCAAACCCCACCCCATTTCAGTAATCATGACTTCCATGCATCTATCAGGATCACTACAACACATGTCATGATACATGACTTTCATGTGAATATCAGGACCACTATAATAACATGTCATGATACATGACTTCCATGTGAATATCAGGACCACTATAATAACATGTCATGATACATGACTTTCATGTGAATATCAGGACCACTATAATAACATGTCATGATACATGACTTCCATGTGAATATCAGGACCACTATAATAACATGTCATGATTCATGACTTCCATGTGAATATCAGGACTACTATAATAACATGTCATGATTCATGACTTCCATGTGAATATCAAGATCACTACAACACATCATGATTCATGACTTCCATGTGAATATCAGGATCACATTTCATTTCCATGTGTCTAACACTAACTAGGCAGTTAAGACCGTGGCTCAACTGGAGGTCAGGTGTTTGATCCCTGCATTGGATCGAGAAAGTTCCATCTATTTTTTCCGGCATGGTTCCCAATTGTCAGTGGTACAGAACAAAGGGCTGGCAAGGGACAACATATAATCGTTCGGATGGGACGTAAAACCAAGCTCCCGTGTCCACATTGGCATGCACGTAAAAGATCCCTTGACAGTTGGACTTCGATATAAGAGTAGGGACAACATATAATCGTTCGGATGGGACGTAAAACCAAGGTTGCTTGTCCACATTGGCATGTACGTAAAAGATCCCTTGGCAGTTGGACTTCGATATAATCGTTCGGATGGGACGTAAAACCAAGGTCCCGTGTCCACATTGGCATGAACGTAAAAGATCCCTTGGCAGTTGGACTTCGATATAAGAGCCGTAGTGCCATTGTCCGAGCAAAATTGCCCTCAGTCATAGCACACTGTATGGCATATGCCCGTCTTCATTTGCCCGGTCAGGAGCAGAACAGTACCAAGTTAAACCCCATTTCATTTCACCCCAACCAGTTGCCATGATACATGAATACCTTTCAAATCTCCCAAAAACAAACAAAACTTATTATTTATTTATTTATTTTATTAAATCCTACATGCATGTGACTGACAGTAGGAATAATATAACAGCTATCCGTATTTTTATTTAATCATCTCATTTGTTTTGAAAATAAAAGTCAAACATGAATAGCTCTTGAACAAAAAAATGTTTTGAATAAATTAACATGAATTACAATACATGTAATAATAAACATCAACACCATCTGCGATGCTTCATTTTTTTTTTAAAGGGCATGTGAAAACTGTTCAACTGTGATTCATATGAATGATTAATAATATGAATGTCTAGACAATGAAATGACCAGGACACAGGGCACCTGTCAGGACTTGGTCAATACAATGTATAGCAGTTTATATATTATACATGTAATAATATAAATGCCTTGTATAGTAATCCGTGCCTGACAAAATCTGTGACTGGTGCCTTCTGTCCAGGCTTGGCTATGAATGATTTTCAATTTTTAAAAAAATTTAGAAACTAAATTTGTGATTAGAAAACTTTCCTAATTTATATAACTATTGTGTAAAAAGGCTAAAATTGCTAAATGAATGATAAGATTGCCTCCTAGAAATATCTTAAACGCCCTTTTCTTTCTTACATGTTGATGTATCGGTCAACTGAAGGGGAAAATAACAGCAGAAGACTACATGTGATTCTTAAAGAAGTTTTTTATCTTGAATAGTTGGAAAGAATGGAATTTAGGTCAAGTTTTCACAACCATTGTTTTCCGGAATCCTTGTCAATAACTTTGGATAAATTAAATTGACTTGTTGCAAATTGTCAATTGATTTAAAAGGCGTCATAAATGTATCTTTAATTTGGCACTGGAAAGCCAAATGTATCAAAATTTTATTTGACTGGTCAGTGTAAATATCACAATATGGACATTTTAGGTTCCAAAATTTTATTGTGTCAGGGCAAATATCACTAGCCACAAATCTAAATGTTTTTAAATTAAGGATATCTTAGTACATTATAAATGCAACTTGAAGCCATTTTCAGTCATTTTGTTGTATTTTATTTTGTTTCTTTATTTACATAGATATAATTATAATTTGAATATGAACAACCTATATATAAATAACATATAACAACAAACAAACTGAGTGGTACATCTTCGACGTGTAAATACAAACGAACCAATCAACATCTCTACTCCCAGCAAAAAAAATTAACATATCGAGATTTTGTCTCGAGTCTTAAGCCTGAATTTGATGAAATTTGTTTCAATTCAGAGCAAACTTATTATTTCAGGGATGGTTTACTGCATATGAAATTGTTGCCTGGCAAATCATTTCATATTGTTGTCTGGCAACTCAATTCATATTGTTGCCTGGCAACTCATTTCAAATTGTTGCTTAGCAACTCACTTGAAATTTTTGCATGGAAATGCATTTCAAATTTTTGCATTTAAAATTGTGGTTTAGCAATGAAAACAGTTGCTTAGCACATGATTCCAATTTGTTGCTTAGCAACCTATTACAAAATGGTTACCATACATATAAGTTTACTCTGAATTTCCAAATGTTTAAACTCAGATAACATTTAAGCCAATTTAAACTAATTTAATAAATAGCCGTTTCATCCTAAGTATTTTCCAAGTCGTAACCATGGCAATCGACAAACGATACATCCAAACATCATTTAATTTTAAAACCAATTACATGCATTTTTAAATGCCACCACACACAATACCAAATCTTCATATCGAACATTTACACAAAACACTTACAGAATCAAACACACCCACAAGTTTTATAACAAAATTTCAACACACATTTAAACTTGAAATTTTTTCATTTACTTTTAACAAAATTAATTAAGTTATTAACTTACTCAATATTAAAAAAATTAATTTAAATATTAATGAATCAAACAAAAAATGTAACCAAAGAGTTCTAAAATTTTTTTGTGCGAGTCTAAAATATTAACTGCGAGATCAACTCTTATATAATGTTCTTTTGAAATTTTTTAATCGTATAAATTTCGAAGTTTCAAATTCGAGAAAATTCTATAAATTTGATAGTTTCTTTGAGTACCACAGTATTTGTAAATTAGTTACCATGGCAATTAAAGACGTACAGGTATCATAGTTCGTTTTCACTTCACACACAAAACAGTTCTATCACAATTCTGCATTTGATGATAAAAAGTAGTTCCGTAGGAGTTTTCCATAACAAAACAATTTCCGATATTTATTAGCAAGAAAACCCGTTCTTCTCCATATATAAAGTGTTCCTGGATAACGATCCACCCACGAATGTTCGAATACTGGTGTTTTTTCGTAAAAACATAACGATCAAGGACGAAAAATAAGTCAATTAATTAAATTCCTAAAGTTTATTTTTGATTTCTCCATTCATACATTTTTCACACAAAGAAGTCTTCACATGTTTCGATGTATTCTGGTACAAGTTGGTCCGAACTGGTCCGATCTGTGCGATGGGAAAAATATCCGCTATTTGACCCCTTGAACCACGGATGTTCTAGCACTTGTTCAGCCGTAAGTCTTTCACTTGGATCTCGTCGTAATAACGTTTTAATGAGACACTTTGCCCTCGATGATAACATGTTTGGAATATTGAATTGTCCTCGGCGAATTTTACCAAATAACGCTGCCGGCTGCGTATCGTGGAAAGGGTACCGTCCAATAAGTATCGTATAAAGCATGACGCCTAGGCTCCACATGTCTGCTGCCTTGCCGGAATAGGTTCCTGTGGCGTTTAATATTTCTGGACTGACGTAAGCGGGACACCCATGTTTATCGGACATCAGGTCATTCTCTTCATCTTCCAATATAGTAGCATCCTCTAAACCATCCAATCGTAAAGTTTTTCTGAAAATATAAAAAATATTCATTTTGAGAAATTTTAAAGAAAAAGTCAATTTTAGATTACATAAATAAAATATTGCAGACACTTTATCACAGAAAACTTCATTCCATCCTATCAAATATCAAATAAACTTAAATGTATAACAGAAAATTTGTAAAACTACACCTCTACACAAACTAGGTCATTACGGGACTAACATATGGTTTAAGTTTATTTCATTAATTGGTTTGCATGTTTAGTACTAGTGGGAGTAAATTGGAGAAAACCCACAAGCTGGACTGTACACAAGAACTTGTACATGTTTATTTGTTATTAATAATTACTTATTTGGATGTCATTAAACTATATTTGTATACATGTCGAGGTACATCTATTCACGTTTCTTCATGCATTTTATCATGTTACATCATGATTTAATTCTCTTTTTATTTTTCATTCAATAAGAATTGTTAATACCCATCAATGAGTAGTGTTACTAAATACATGTAATAAAGGTTTCACTCACACTAGCTTTGATAAGTTTATAAGTTAATGTATGTACATATAAAGTAGACCCATATCTATTTCAAATACGGGTTTGTATACAGTTAAATATATCGCTAATGCAAGCTACAGCCTGTGTGGTTAATTGCTGACTTGTTACTATAAATAGACTTGTATGTGTGGGTAGTTGAAGGAATGTGTTCTATATGTAGACATGTACTGTAAGCTACATGTATATGTATATTATATGAAAATGATGATACAGTAACATGAATCAATATAGGTACATGTACCTCTATTAGCTTACATTGTATCTAATTACATATACCTGTTACAGTATATCACATAGGTACTGGTACATCTCTAATAACCTACATGTACATTTACATATATATTTACGTATACCAATGTAGTATATAATTATAGATTGACCTCATAATTTTTGTATTACTGTATTTAACTATTAACTTGATGATAACATTGAGAGAATACTAGATAATTAATATCCATCAGCTGTTTTTTTGTAACAAAGTACATATGTATATTTCAAAGAGATAGAGAGAGAGGAGAGAGAGAGAGGGAGAGAGAGATTAATGTCCACTCGACACAAACTAGGTAATTTCGGAACTAACACATAGTTCAAATTTATTTCAATAATTTGCATGCGCGTAGGGGTCTTTAGCAGTGGGAGGAAACCGGAGGAAATAGAGAAAACCCACAAGGTTCGACAGGCAACCCTACTCCTTCTCACATACAAGCAGGGAATCGAAACCACGCCAGTTGACTCAATGACAGACCTTATGATACAACGCGCACGTGCTAACCATTCGGCCATCCAACCCCCCATTTATTATTTTGCAGTAAAAAAATGAATCATTTCTAAAGACAGTTTAACTCATGTAGATATAAAATATATTAAATGTTTCACATGATTAATATCAACTTTTTTTTTTCATTAAAAAAAAAGACAGCTTATTATTTATTTCCTGATTGAATGAATGGCTTTTATTTAAATTTAATCAAAGAAAAAATTAAATAAGCTTATTGTTACCTTCCCGTCCATGTGAAAATATTTGTCACTGGTTTGTATTATTTATAGAATAAACACACGGAAGTTGCACTTCTAAAAAAAAATTCCAAACTTTGATAACATTTCACCCGTTGTTTTGCGTTTTAGATTTTTGAAAGTGTTACAGTACGCTATATTTGTGCGGCAGGAATGTGTTTGAGACGGAAGTAGGGTGTTAAATTATTTAAATGTTTAACGACCAGATGCAGTTTGTATTATAGAACCACAATATGTCAATATGGTCGCTGTTCGTTTCAGGCAAGATTTGCCAATGCTCACAAAATTTTAATCCAAGTCAAACTAAAAAAATTCTTGTCTCATTATGGAAAGAAATACAAGCATAAAATGTAGAATTCCATCAAGTTTTCTTACTGAAAAGTTTACATTTTGACTGAAAAGTTTACATTTTGACTGCAAAACTTCATAATGAAAGCTGAAAATTCTTGTCTTATTCTTTTGTGGAAGAAAATACAAGATTAAAATTTAAAATTTCATCAAGTTTTCTCATTGCAAGATTTACATTTTGACTGGAAAACTCCATAATAAATTTAGAATTGCAATATAGAAGTTGGAAGTGAATTTTCTTACTATTACTAACCAATACCGGTATTCAAGTTTCATTTTCATTTTGGCGAAAGTACTCCTGTGGAAAGTCGACATGACCGTGTAGTCTTTGAACTAGCGTAAGTGTCGATACATGTGTTTCCAGTGCTTTAGCAAAAGTAAGATCGGTCTCCTAATGAAACAATAATAAATAGAATTCCGATAATTAAACAGTATTAAACAGAAATTCTAGTTTTACATGCATTTCCATTTTGGAGAAAGTACCCTGGTCAACATGTAAACATCCATACATGTACTATGCATGTAACAAACTAGCGTGGGCGAGTGGGATTGGAAAATCTTAAACTAGTGAAGTGAATATTAAAACTTTCCCTTTCATTGAGAAAATGCCGAAGGAACAATCCTCTTAACGTACAAGAACTAATGCAGGAAGTTTGGGCTTTAGACAGGAAAATAAAGAGTTTGGAGTTTCCACCATTTATAATGAGCTTAACTCAAACAAGAGAATCAACATTAGTTTGTTGTTAGGCCAGCCAGCTTTTCCTCCTTGATTGTGTGAACAACTCTACGAATACACAAACATTCGTAGGAGGAAGTTTAAACGCCAAATACATTCCATTGGGTTATGTTGACAATTTTTTTACCCAGCAGTTGTGTTAGTTTTTTTTAACTCAAATAGCAACAATGAAGGTGTTGATAAACTATGCTGCTAACATATCTATGCACATGTATTTGCATTTTTTTTTTTTAAGTATTGGACATGTTGTAAACATTGAATTTTAGAATGTATTGGTTTTTCCCTTCTTAAATTTGTAATACTGTACTGTACAAGCTTAATTGGGTCAAATAAGTTCACAATGTGAGGGTTTTTACTTGAATGATGTTACATTATAATATTGTGTATAGATGTGAATTTTTTGTCAATCATTTATTGGCATACGTATAAAACTAAAGTAATTATGCTGCTACATGTATATCTTGTGTTTATCTACCTAACCTACTGTACATCCAGAGTTTATGCCAAGGTGTGTGTGTGTGGGGGGGGGGGGCAAATGATATAATGCATGTGCTTTAGATCATAGGGTTTGTCATTGAGTCAAGTGGCATGGTTTTGATTACAACCTTGAACGTGACAAGGAGTAGGGTCGCCTGTCAAACCAGGCCCTCTGGTTTCCTTCCACTGACAGAATGTTAAACCCTTCCCTGAGACAAAGAACATTTAATTAAAGTTGAATGATAAAAAAAAAAAAATGTTTAAAAATAATTCTGTCTAGAATTAAAATACACACCTATCAGAATCTTTGAAGACAAATTTCCTTAATTTTAAATCTCTAAGAATTAGTCCATTATCGTGACAATGTTGCACAGCCGATATGATTTGCTTAAAAAGTTGAGCAGCCTCTTCCTCACGCAGCCGTTTCTTCTGTCTCACGTAGGAATGAAGATCCGTAAAATGCTTCTCGAAGAAGACGTAGGCTTTTGCTTCTCCTAAAATAATTTCCGACACATTTGTAATATTTTCATGACAATCCACTTGCCAATACGGAGAGAGTTCTTGACGGTATGTATTTATGGGTAAAACCTGAAATTATAAAAAAAAAAAAATTCAAATTAATTTCAATAATAACACACACAAATATTGTAAGCAAACTGTCAACGTATAAAATATCTTGCACGAATTAAGCCATTTTTACGAGGACCTAACAGAACTAACAGAAATTAATTAAAACAAAGGCCTTTGTCCATATAAACCATTAATTCAACATATTTTAATTATTTGTTGTACTCAGCTTATAAATGGGAACATCAATTAATACAAATGATTAAAATATCTTACAAAATCATATCCAACGTCCCATTCATAGAAAAGGCAAAACAAAGAAAAATCAATGATCTAATGTTAGTGATCAATAAAGCCTATTGTCTTTACCAACAGTACAATTAGTTGACGAGGGTCTGTAATTATTCACACTGCTCCGTGAAGCAATTACAGTACCGGTATTGACTAGTAATAGTATTTCCCGATTCGACTATTATGGCTGATGAGATATCAGGGTCGATGGTGTACGTTGAAGGATATTGAATGAAGGATATTGAATCAGTCGATGTGACAAAAACATGACTGATGGTAATATCACATAGTGTTAAAAGTGAATCACCAACACCAGTGATGGAATTCAACCTTTACAAGCCTGTGTGAGTGTGTGTGAGTACTGAAGTACTTTCTTGTTATGGCAAAAGAGATCAGCCACTTTGTGACTTATTAAGTACCGGTACACATACTTGTTATAATGAATGGTAAAAGTTTGAAATCTCACATCATCAAAGATCAATATGTTATGAAAAATGAGTAATAATAGGCTAATAATTAATTTTCATTTTAACTTGATGAGAGAGACAGAGAGAGAGAGAAATATTAAGGTCCACTCGACACAAATTAGGTCCTTTCGGGACTAACATATGATATGGTTCTGTTTTATTTCAATAAGTCGCTTGCACCTAGACCTAGGGGTCTTTAGCAGTGGGGTGAAACCGGAGAACCCACAGAAAATCCATGAGGTTGGACAGGCGAAGCTTAATGATTTTACAAAAAGGTTTTTTTTTTCAACTCATTTATTTAGATTACAGCTTAACATTTTTTGGGAAAGAACTTCACTGAACACAAGAATCTGAAGTGTACATGTGATTGTGTGATTTTATTTTTAACACCTTGACCTAGAAGGTCAGGAGAAACTGACAAGATAGGTGACCAGAAGTTTACATGCTGACCGCTAACATATTCAGATTACGCAACTAAACATATTGGTCAATCAGTCACCTTGACTAATCACTAGTCACTCTACACAAGTGATGGTCAAGTTATGATCCTTTGTTTCAATAGTGTCCATATGTTACATGGACGGTCAGTCTGTTGGTCAAGCTCATCACTTGGAGAGTGTGATCAATAATAATATTACAGTAACCATCTCATTACACCAGCAAGACAAAGACCATTATGAAGGTGAACAAGCCATTGATCCAATTTTATTGATTTTTATGAAGCAATTTTTCAGAACCTTAATTACTGGTCATAAAAATTGAGAATCTTAGAGAATAAAATCGGATTAAACCTATAAAATACATGTAGTTGTTTTTAATATTCAGTTTTGTGCCATTAGCTTACAAATTCATGGTATTAAAAATCTGGTTTCATTTCATACTATTATCATATAAAGAAATTTTAGAGACAAGTATACAAATAGGTGGTAATAAAATTTGTCATAAAGTCCTTTAATGACCTCTGAATGAATCAGAGTCACTGATGTTCTTATTGAAATCTAAGAAGATACAAGTAGGCCTACATTTTCTTATGGTTTATAATTTCAGGCCTACTATTACTATTAAAGCGGAAATGACATTAAGGTATATTTGGTGTTTCACAAGGACACAGTCACCCTATATGTACATGTACGTCCTATATTGAATCATGACATCAGCTAGATGAAACAGCCGATTGGCTTATCCTAGACATTCTCACAAGGTTGATGAAACATATGCTGAGAAAGTAATAAAACTTTAATTTTACAATGATGACAATGTCATTTTTTTTACTGATGTCATTCTCTGAAATATCGCACAATAATTTTACATAATCTTCTTACGCAACATGTACCAGTTAGTAAAAAAGAAACTGAAAGTAGTCTACTTTCGTTTTATTAAACTATTTTTAAAACAATAAACTTTCCTCATTTTCAACAATAATATCGAAAGTAGCTATTTTCATTTTTTGTAAGTGAAGAAACTATTCAATTATTTATTAACCTATTCAAAATGACTAAAAAGTTTTGCTGCGCACAAAATCATTTTTATTTTTGAAATGGGAAGTGGTTTCCTACTTTGTGACTGTCCCTAACAATTAAAACTTGGGTGGAATGATAAAGCCATTGTTTGCCGTGTAACAAAAGATTTCCAATACACAATAAAATTCATTGTTAAAATGAATAAAAACATGCCTTTTGTAGTTATAAATTTTCAAGAAATAATTTGAAAATATGACAATAAATGGAGAATTCAAGTTCAATTTTCAAAGAATGTTTATATATAAATGAAATATTATTTTAATAACTATTTAAGTAATTAATTATTACAAACATTAATAATTGAAAGTTGCCTGCACATGTGCAACACAACAAAGAACTTATTGCACATGATTCAAAAAAGTTTTATAACATAGCCTATCCAAAATATGATATGAATAAAAAAAGAAAATTATGAAAGTACATCGTCTTAAAATTTTATAATCAAGTTCTGAATTAATTAACAAAGCATGTTAATTCATTGATCGAATCATGAGAAGCCAGTGTAAAACAAAGAGCCACATGGCTCTTGTCCGCCACGTGGGGAAATTGTAAACAATGACCGGCTATGAACAATAGCGACAACTCACCTTGCAGACGAATTCTTCGTGGGTTTGACTATTAACTGCGTTGTACACTTCACTACTGTCTGTTGTTTGGTTATATAATAGATATTTTCCAATTTTCAACACATCTTGATCCTGGGAACAGTTCTTTGGGAAAACTGGTGGCGTGTTTGGTTGTAAATCCGGACTAAGATTTCCTGGGTTTGATCCCTTGAATGGAGCCAGAGGTTCTGTTTCCAAGTTCTTTTTACGTGGCCCATTATTAATAGCTGGGTTGTTCACAATTAATTGCCTTGAAGGCCTTTGACGTGTCAAACTCATATGAATTTTCTAGGATATATCCTTCTTTAGTAGAAGACTACACTTTGCAAAGTAGCTGACAACTTCCAAAAACTTGGCACGACCAAGGAAATGCCTCGCGCCGACTGCCTTTGTGTTGCTTCTTTGGTCCTCCACGTGAGCGGTAAAATACAAACAAAGTAACTTTCCGGAAACTGGAATGTTTTGTCTTCGTACGAGAGGAAATTTTCCCGTTTGTTCAGTTGTTAGGTCAAACAAATGTTCATCCACCTGGTTAAAGTGGTTTATTGGACAAGATCTGATCCAAATGTTCTTGTAAACAAAGTTTTTACTATTTAGCAACAATTCCACAGTTTCACAGAATGGCGTAATATTATTAGTCCGTAAACAATTAGCACTTATTGAATTAAAGTCTGATGATATGAAAAAATATTAACAATGTCAAATGAATCACAGTTGAAAATAAAAGTAGAAAGTTCTAGTTGAGTCACTGCGTCATGCTATGAAGCGCTCGTGATGAAGTTCTTATCAAAAATAAAAAATACCGTTAACTTAAAAACATTGATCAAAATTCATAGTCCGTTAAAACATAAAATTGGTCGTAGAATTCAGGCTGCCTTTTCCCAGGTTCGATAATCCGTTGAGTGCTATATGTGAAATAATTTATATAAATTTATTTCAGCATATGGCGAAACCACCTTCCTTATGAAATCGGTAACAAAAGTCGAGTCACCGGTTGATACGTAGATAAATTACCTTTCCGTACTTAGTGTTGAGAGAGTCGCTTGCGCTCAAGTTTTCGGTGCTATTTTTTCCAAATATTCTTGATGGTATCCAATCTGTTCCTTACTTCTTGGTTTCTTCGATCTTTCTGACTTTCGTTTGTCGCTGTATCTTGCCTGGGAAGGGCCTACTTATGCCTGCCTCCCCTCTAACACTTCGACACACAACCGAAACCTTCAGAAGTCGCCATTGTAAGGTAATGTGTAACTGCGCCGTTATGATAAAATGGTGAACAATTTACCGCTATCCTTCCGCGAAGAAACTGCGCTGCACGCAAACGTCTGCACACCTTGGTAAAATAATGAAGCTATTTTGTGCGAATTCTTTCTTATATGCCTTGATAAACAAAAATTGAACTTCACCGATAATCCTTAATCCCGCATTAGCTAATCCGATTTAAAGGAATTCGGGGACTATATGATTAAGATATTTCCTGAATGAACCGTTTAGAGCGTGAGGTGGGGTGAGTTGATTAGCGGTATATATCACATGACCTAATGACGTAGAGGGGATTCCATACATGACCCAGAAACCCATAAATGGAAATCACTCAATTTTCTTTGTTCTCAATCATAAACGGCGTTCCCGTTGCTAGGTATTAGCCAATGAAAATCGTGCCTTGAGGAGATTCCCAAACACTGACGCAATGTTTTGGTGTGTAGTGTAACGTAGTAAATAAATGACCAACCGTTTTTTATACACCGTTATGACTAAATATAAATAATCATAAATAAACAAACAAATGACTCATAGCGCAGTCGTAATTTATTTATCCCACAGCTAATAATGTAAATAACTATTTGTAATCGTATTTATTTTTATCATCAACAAAGGCAGAGTGAATATTTTCATACACACAAAGAACTTTCTTAAAACTTCTGAACTTCTTTGTTTGGGGGGAAGGATAGGTTAGAAGTTTGAAGGAAGTTATAAGAACAAAGAAAAGGATAAACAAAGCCAGTTTGAAAAACTTTTAAAGAGTTGCCGAGAACGTAAAATAAATATATTGTTTTGATGAATATGGTCTTGGTAAGCAAAAAACATTACGTGGACAATGTATGGTCAATTAAAATTTTAATATTTCTCATGAAAGAAAAACAAAAATTCTAAAGGATAATTGACGAAAAAGTTAAACAAAGCCAGTCTGAAAAACTTTTAAAAAGTAGTTGAGAACGTCAATTAAATTTATTGTTTTGATGAATATAGACTTAGTAAACAAAAAAAATATATGGACAATGTAGCCTCTGGCCAATTAAAATTTTAATATTTCTCGTGAAAGAAATTCTGAAGGATGATTGAAGAAAAAGTTAAAAAAAAAGCCTGTTTGAAAAACTTTTTAAAAGTTGCTTTTAGCGTAGACTAAATCTATTGTTTATTTTTAATATTAAAGTTTAATGTGTAAAATTATTGATGAATATTGAGTATAACTGCTACAATCTTTGCACTTTTTAAAAAATCGTTTATTTTTATTATGGATGTTTAATCTTGGGTGTATCAAGATTATCGTGCCCTGCAACCCATTTTAATACTGTGTTTGCATAAATATCCCTTTATAATATTTTGCCGAGCATACGATAAAAATCTCACTGAATGAATAACGTACGTAACACACCTTAAATTACGTTCTATTTTGATGACGTGAAATATCACAATAGGCATATATTATTATACGTATATAAGTATGTACATGTATATAGTAAACAACACAGGCTAACACCCAGCTGTTGTCACGTTAGCTTATTGAACGGAAATTGAAGATCTAAGTGCAAGTAAGTCTTCGAGTTGATTAGTTCTACGTCATTGCGTTATTTAAAGATAACTTGCAATTATTGCTTAATATATTAGGCCTTGAATTGCAGTATTTGCTATAAACAGTAAATACAAATGGATATTATTAGCGCTGTATATCCTATGCTATTTGTAGAAACTCGCTTTGATGACGTATGTTATAGGATTTCCCATTACATAAGTTCATGTGAATCTATTCTTATGCAATGGATTAAAACTAAAAAAAGAAACCCCAAATATAAATATACGACAAAACAAAAACAAAAATACAACAACACAGATGAGGTCATGTAATTGTATAAAATTAACTTGCATAATAAGGCTTAACCGAATTAAATATTTGGAATCAAAACAAACTTAAACCTAAATTAGGCCTATTTATTTCTCTGTAAGGGGGTGGGGGTCACCGAATAGTTAGCACGTGCGTGCTGTATCATAAGGCCTGTCATTGAGTCATCTTGAGTGGTTTCGAATCCCCGATTGTACGTGACAAGGAGTAGGGTCGCCTGTCCAACCTCGTGGGTTTTCTCCGGGTCCTCCGGTTTCCGCCCACTGCTAAAGACCCCTGCGCGCAAGCGAATTATGCAAATAAAATTGAACCATACGTTAGTCCAAAAATGCCCTAATTTGTGTCGAGTGGACGTTAACCCATTAAATTCTCTCTCTCTCTCTCTCTCTCTCTCTCTCTCAATTAATGAAAATAAATGATGAAACTTTGGGTAACAGAAGTTGACATACATAAACATAGGCTTTAGTATATTTGATTAAATTACTTTTTAATAGAATCTATGTACACATTGACACCTGAGAAGGTACATGTACGTATGATGCAATACTATAGCTGTGTACTGTAGGCCTATATATACTATAGCTGTGCACTGTAGGCCTATATATACTATAGCTGTGTATCTAGGCCTATAGAAACCAGAGAACCGACCAGGAAACAGAAACTGGGTATGTATGATGCAATTGTATGTAAATATTTAAAATTAAATACAACAAAATAACAATAATATATGATGCAATATCTGATGCTATGGCAAAAATCGCTTCAATGGACGGAATTCATTTTTATTATTATTATTTGATATTTTTTTTTAAGGAACGTGTCTACTTTCACGTCAGGAAAACCATGGAGTCTTGTAAAACAAGACTATAATAAATTGTCTAATTAACTTTATATGCATAAATAAAATGCCCCTACATATATATTACATGTTATAACTGTTTAGACTAACTTGCGGTTCGTTTTCTTGGTATGGGCACCTGCGCAAGGATATGTTTCAAGGGCTGCGATACGGAGGCCGATCTCTTTACCGGTTCGGAAATGAAATGGGGTTTAACGTACTGCTGTTCTGCTCCGACTGGGCTAATGAAGACGGACATACGCCACACAGTGTGCTATGAGGGAAATTTGGCCTGGACAGCTTGCCTATACCGTTATATCAAATTCCAACTGGCAAGGGATCTTTAACACGGGATCTCGGTTTTTCGTCCCAATGCCTATACATTGTCCCTTGCCAGGCCCTCTGTCTTACAACACTGACAGGGGTCGGGGGGACGCCGGAAAAGCCCGACGAACTTTCTCGGCCAAAACCAGGATCGAACACGGGACTTCCAGGTGAGCGAGCCAACGTCTTACTCATTGAGTCACAAGGGCTCCCTTCTGTAAACCAGTTCGGTATCCAGCGTGCATTATTTATTTTTTTCGATATACCTGGGATATATGAAAGTAGTCCTATTTCATAGACCAACCTTTGAACGAGTTATAGAGTCCCGCACTGTATAAATAGAGGTATACGTCATACAATAGAAACGACCTTGAAATACGCTAGTAGGTGTAAACGAATATACAGTGATCCGTCACGCGTTTCGAAGAATTGTGCAAATAATCTAAACGAATACCGCGTTTCGAAGAAAAAGAGGGATTTTAAAGGAAATATGATCTGTGTATAGAATTTTAGATTTAAAAAAAAAAGTTAATTCAAATTAATAAGTTATTTTTACTGCTTCTCAGAATCAAACTCAAACCGATATAACATGGTTATTTTATGGGGTGGGGGTGTCTTGTCTTCTTTTGTATCTGGACTCCTCCGACATTTTATTAATGTTAATACTTATATTTGTTGTATTATTATATTGGTTTTTTGGGGGTTTTTTTTTATTTTTACTATACTATTAAAGAAAACTGTGTCTATTAGACAAGAGATGTAAGATAATGAAGTCTCTGTAAGAGAGAGAGAGAGAGAGAGGGGGGGGGGCTAACGTCAACTCAACACACGGAGTATACGAGGACTGGTTGAGAAGTTCTAAGCCTGAAAAGGATAGTTAATTGGGTTGAAACAAGTACAATCATTGAATAAATCATAGACATAAAACTGCAACTCTGTAGTGTTATTATTGTCTTCGCACCAGACCATCTTAGTGAAACCACCAGAAATGGACAAAACTGCGTCACGTCGGTGGAGTGTCAAAGGAGTGTATCTAAAAATTTCTAAAGATTAAGAAATAAAACCTTTTGCATTTCAAAATTTCCACAAATCAAGATACAACATTTGGAAACATGATACCCGGAACAGTTCTAATTGGCGTAGAGATACACAGCTTAGACAGAAATGCGCATATTAATTGGGAGATTTTAAAAATGCAAAAAAGGGTATAGTTGACTAATTTCCCGAGATACACCCTTTTGACACTTGACCAAGGCAGTCATCAAGTACCTGCAACTAAAAGAACTAACCCCAACACAGATACAGGCTGACATGGTCTCCTTTTTAGGGGATGATGCCCCTTCCTTTTCCACAGTAAAGAAATGGGCTGCGGAATTTAAGCGTGTCAGTCAGAGAGAGTCTTGACGATGACCAGCGTCAGCAACCATTCAAGAAAACATTACCCGGTTGTATGACATGGTGATGGCTGATCGACGATTGACGACTCGACATATTGCCAGTGTTGTGGGCATCTCTCATGAGTGGGTTGAGCACATTATCAACAATGAGTTAGTAATGACAGAAGTTTCTGCAAGATGGGTGTCAAACAAAGCTGTTGACTGCCGATCAGAAACGTGTCAGATTCCTGACCGCCATTAATTAACGTACGACAATTAAATGGTAGGGGAAATGGAATGAAATAGGATTTAACGTGCTACTGTTCTGCTCCGAACTAGGCTAATGAAGATGGGCATACGTCAGTGTGCTATGAAGGAAATTTTGCCCGGACAGCGGCACCACGGCCTACTCTTATATCGAATTCCAACTGTCAAGAGATCTTTTACGTGTACGCCAATATGTACACGGGACGTCGGTTTTCCGTCCCATCCGAACGACTAGACAGCTGTCCTTGTCAGGTCCTCCGACATGCGTCACTGACAAGGGGGAACCACGCCGGAAAATCTAGAAGAACTTTCTCGGCCAATGCAGGGAT